TGCTAAGACTAAGGAAAGAGGCAGACTCTTTGTTAACAGTATAGTAATCAGTTTTTGTTTTTGTTTTTTGTTAAGAGAGACAGGCAATATTTAATTTTAAAAAAGTTTTCCACAGTGGAGACTAGCAGACATTTCAAACTCAACATGTTCAAAATTGAGATTTCTCTCCCACAGTCTTCCCTCTTTCAGAAATAGTCATTATATGCTTCTAGTTTTCAGAACAAAAACCATGAGGACATCCTTGATTCATTCAATTCGTCAGCAAAGCCTGAGGCCATTTCTTACCTTCTTCACTGCTTCTGCCATGGCCCAGGTCCTGCTCATTCCCTGCCCAGACCATTGCAATGGCCTCCTAACTATCTCTCTGCTTTCAACCTTGTCTCTCTTCAGTCTATTTTCAACACAGATGTCAGAGGGAGCTATTAAAATAAAAGTCAGATGATTTTATTTCTCTGTCCAAACCCCTCTGTTGTTCTCTTATCTCAGAGTCAATGTCAAATTCCTCACGATATCCTAGGAGGCTTGTTACATCTTCCCCACTTATCTTTCTTCCTGCATTTCCTGCCTGTTTTCTGCTCACATACTCTGCTCCAGCCACACTGGCCTTTTTGCTGCTCCTTGAACATCTGTGCCTACTCCTACCTCAGGCCTTTGCTTTTCCTGGCCCTACTGCACAAAACATATTCTCTAGATACCTATAAGGCTTTCTTTTTTGTTCTTTTAGGATTTTACTGAAATTTATCTTCTCAATTGAGGTAGGAATTTAATTGCTTCGATTTGTCAATATTTTTTTTAAGTGAATATTTAGTGGGTGTAACTCAAAGCCAAATTTGGCTCATTTTTATCCTAATGACTTCTGCAAAATAGCCACCATTGTTGACTGAGTAAATAGACATAGCCTGATGATTTTTTTAAAACGCTACCTGGAATGATATACAGTGCCATTTTGTTAACTCACTTCTAGGCATAAACTTACAAATTCTTCTTTGTATCGAAAAGTTTACATTAAGTTAGTCTTTTCTGTAAACATAATGATAGAAAATAGAGGATTCAACTTGCTGATCCGAAGCATGATGAAGACCAACTCTGCCCAAATATCACCTGATCGCTGGGATATCGTATCCTCATTATTATATCATTGCCCTTCAATGGCTTCCCCACTGTCCTTGGGATGAAGGCCAGAAGTTTTACCATGGCCACATTGTCAGGACCCTACATGTCTCTCAGCCTCAACTGATGTCCCATGTTCTCTTGGTGCCCTGCCTTCCGGATATTCTAGACTTCTTTAAGGTCTTTGAACATGTCATTCTTCCTCTGCCTTAGGACTTTTGCAGATGGTCATCATTTGGCCTGGAATACTCTTACTTCCTCTTGTATGTATCTTGCTAATTCCTATACTTTAAGTCCAACAGCAACCACCACTTCCTTGACCCTGATCTTGTTCAACAGGTCAAACACTCCAATCCTTTCTTATGTACTCTTATAATAATATAGTCCGTTCCTTCAAAGTATCTATCACTGTTATGAATTTACATTTATTAGTTTGATTCTTCGATTATTTTTTATCACTCACTAAACTGTACAAGGACAAAGATTGTGTGCATATTTGCTCTCTAACCCCCAGCATCCAGCAGAGCTCCATGCCCATTTAAGATATTCGGTAATTATTTGTTAAATAAGTAAATGGATGAATAAATGTCAAACTAACTAACTAAATCACAATTTAGGTTTTTATGGTTTCAATCAGCTTTTAATAGAATATAATCATTATCTTTCCATATCCAGAGCTTTCTGATCTTATTATTATTTCCACGGCTTTCAATCTGATGACCCTCCCCCCCCCCCCCCCCCCCCACAAATACTAATAATGCATAGTTCACATGTGATTTTCAGCTTTCCCTGAGCTTTCACATTCATTTCTACATTCCACTCAAGTTACTGATAAAGACTCTGGAGCTCAAAATGCCACATAGTTAACAAGGCACAAGTCAAGGCTAGAATTCTAACCATGCCAAGGCTCCTGGTAAACCTAAAGAGGGAAGATAAGAAACTGAAAATTGGGTCCACTTCTGAAGGTCCATGGGGAAAGATATATTAAAATAGAGGTATCTCTCCATCTCCAAACAAAAGCTGATTTAATTTATTACAGTGGTTATTTTGTTAAAGTTGAGTTAGATTGGGTCACATAATTATCTCACTAGAGAGTATATGAAAGTGTAAAAATGGGAAAAAAGTCAATCATTCCAATTTCATGGCTTAGACAATAACCCTCACCAAGTTCTCCTTTATATATCTGTTTTGCGATTTTTCTTTATACTATATAAGCACCAACTTAACACATTCTCCTCTATTTATATATAATGCAATTTACCACTCCACTACCCAACTGCCTCTCAAAGATGCCAAAAGAATGTGACACAGACTCTAAAGGCTGCGTGTCTGAGTCCCCTGAATTCCTCCTGCCCCTTAGACCTCACCTCCAGTCACTCACTAAACTCTGCCAGTTCCATTTCATCTACTCTTCTACCACAGGCCCATGGACTCATTCACTTGGATATCATATCATCCTCCTAAACAATCTTTCCACCATCAGTCTCTACCCATTCATCTCATTCTTCAAAGAGATTCTTGAGTAGAAATGGAATCATGTTACTTTTCTGCTTCTACCCTGCTCTGTAGGATAGAATCCTGTATAGCAGCTTATCCACTATAGTTGCTGCTGATCCTTGAAGTTGATCATCCTGGGGTCAATCCCTTCCAGTGACTCCAACAGCAATCAAGGCTCAACTACAACAGGTCAGTACACACAGACTACACAGGTGTGCGCCCTGAATGGCCAGCCCAGGTGATGGGGGAGGCTGTGCCACTGGGCCCTACAGGACATCTACTACACAAAACCACTCTACCAATTCCAGGAGATGTATCAGCTCTACACAATGAACAGAAACAGACACAGGAAATCAGACAAAATGTGGAGACAAAGAAACAGGTGCCAAATGAAAGAGCAATCACCAAAAAAAAAAAAAAAAAAAAAAAAAAAAAAGAACTAAATGAAATGGAGTCAAGCAAACTACCACATACAGAGTTCAAAACAACAGTTATAAGGATGCTCAAGGAACTTGGTGAGAATGTCAAGGAATTTAGGAGAATTCAACAGCATGAAAAGGACTATAAAAAAAGAATCAGTGATAAATGAAGGATACACTAACTAAAATGAAAAATAATTCATAGGCACTCAACAGCAGTGTAGATGAAACTGAGAATCAAATCAGTGATTTGAAATATAAAGAAGCACAAAATACCCAAATCGAACAGTAAAAAGAAAAAAGAATTTAAAAAGTGAAGATTGTATAGGAGCCTCTGGGACAGCTTCAAGCAAAACAACATTTGTATCATGAGAGTGCTGGAAGGAGAATAGAGAGAGAAAGAACTTGAATACCTATTTGAAAAAATAATGGCAGAAAACTTCCCCAACTTGGTGAATGAAATAGACATACAAGTCCAGGAAGTGTCAAGTCCCAAATAAAATGAACCCAAAGAGGCCTACACCGGAATATAATGAACAACATAAACTGATGGACATCAATAGATCCAGAGACAGAGAAGCATCAAACAGACTGTCAAACTTCAGAGGGAAGGCAGGGGAAGCGGGTGGGTAAAAGATCAACCAAAGGACTTGTATGCATGCATATAAACATAACCAATGGACACAGACACTAAGGGGGTGAGGGCATGTGCTGGGGTTGGGGGTGGCTGAGGAGAGCTCAATGGAGGAAAAAGAAGACATATGTAATACTATATGTAATATTTCAAACAATAAAGAATTAAAAAAAGAAAGAAAGAGAAAAATTTATTTAAATAAAAAAGAGGCCCACAACAAGACACATCATAATTAAAATGCCAAAGGTTAAAAACAAAGAGAGAATCTTAAAAGCAGCAAGAGAAAAGTAGTAACTTACAAGGGAGCACCCATATGACTGTCAGCTGGTTTCTCAACAGAAACTTTGCAGGCTAGAAGGGTGTGGCAAGAAATATTCAAAGTGATGAAAAAAGCAAGGACCTACACCCAAGATTACTCTACCTAGCAAAGCTATCATTTAGAATCAAAGGACAGATAAAGAGCTTCCCAGGCAGGAAAAAGCTACAGGAGTTCATCACCACCAAACCAATATTGCATGAAATGTTAAAGGGTCTTTTTTAAGAAGAAGAAAAACCAATAAAGAATATGAACAATAAAATGGCAATAAATACATATCTATCAACAATTGAATCTTAAAAACAAAATAAATGAACAAGCAGAACAGAAAAGGACTCATAGATACGAGAACATTTTGACAGTTGCTAGATGGGCAGGCACTTGAGAGAGTGGTTGAAAAAGGTGAAGGAATTAAGTACAAATTGGTTGTTACAGAATAGCCATAGAAGTAAAGTACAGCACAGGGAATATAGTCAATAATATTGTAATAAGTATGTGTGGTGTCAGAGGGGTATGACATTTATCAGGATAATCACTTAGTAAGTTGTAAAATGTCTACTCACTGGGTGTACACTTGAAACTAATATAATAATGTATGTCAACTGTAATTGCAAAATAAAAATATAATTAAAAAGAAAGAAAGAAAAACTGTTTAACTCCCAAAGAATAAATGGGCAGGAAGAATTGTGTGGTCATTTCATCTTTGTATACAAAACAATCCCTGACAACTCCAGGCCATAAACAGAAACACATTTTGTCAGTTATTCACAGAGCGGCCTCCTTCCTCTTTACCAAAGTTTCAGATCTGCTGACTGGCAGAAAGCAGATTGCAAATTTACAACTTCTGAATTCTGGAAATGATGACTAGCAAAATATTTGCCTTTTCATAGCAAATATATGCCCACAATGTGCATATAAAGGGAAATTATTAAAGAAATAATTTCTTTAATAAATTATTAAAGAAAGACCTAAGAAAGAAAGAAAGTGCTCTATGATGGGGAAGGTGCTGGGAGGCAATACTCACAGAGATCGGAGGCTAAGCAACTGCTGGAAAGTGTCAACCTTAATTTCATAGATTTCGTTATGTCGCAGGTCTCTGAAATGACAGAGGTCCAAAGATTGATTTCAAAGTCACTTGTTTCAAAGACCAATCTTCTGAGAACATTTACAGAGGGAATACCTGCCCTCAATCAAAGAAACACATGAAATTGACTGTCAAGTGACTTAAAAAATTTTTGGTTAAAAAAGAACATTGCAATTTATACACTTAAAGAAGTATTGTTTGTCTTTCTTTCAAAGCAGCTAGTTCTTTTGGGTGAACATAAAACTATATCCCAAATGCCATCTTCATTTAAATACTTTGAGAATGCTTCTCTTGGCTCTGCCTTCTGAGCCTTTCTTGTATTTTAGGGTCTTCAGGAGTTTCAAATCTGCCTTTCAAACATAGATTATTTCTTTCTCCCTTAATTTTCCAAAGGCTTTCAGAGAAAAATTAAGTGGGAAAGGATAGATAGATAATGTTATTTTGATCAAAACCAAAGTATAAGTATAAAGCAATAGGCTGATGTTTTATGGAGGTGGCAATTTTAAGAAAGGACTTCTAAAATGTTTCATGTGTATGTAGGACCAGTGGCACCTCAAATATGACAAATATGGCACCTCCCCTAAAGATGACTATTGTGACACAAACATACCAACAAACTCAAGTCCCCCATATTAAAAAACACACATACCACTTATTGGATATGTAAGTTTAGCAAAATGCCAAAGCTCAAACAGACGGACTTCATTATTACATCAAGTTCATGGGGACAGGGGAGGGAGGGGAAAGGAAATAATAAATAGTTTACTTACAATACAATGAATGGTAAAATAGTATTATCTGTATTTCCAAACTTTATAGCTATCTCATACAGTCATGTTGTGTGTGTAAGAAGGGAACACACATGAAATGTCTCTCCAGTGACCCAAGCAAATCAATGAGTCCTGGATATGTGAGTTTGGCTAGGTGACTTAGAGACTCTATAGACGTACATTTTCTGAAGCTTTTGGCAGACTGAAAAACTGGGTAAATCCTCCAACAGGTTGTAAGATAGATCTCTGAAAAACAGAAGGTAGAAAAGGGAAAAAAAATCTGTTACATATTCATTGTAAGGAAACATTCCCCTTTCCCCTTTGAGATGATATATCTCCTAAAGGCCGACACTGAACATTTCTCCACTCTGACATGGAGCAGGTAGCCACCGTTATTGGATTAAGCAGAAGATTCAAATGTTTACTAAAATGTAACTGTTATACTTCTTTAATTGACTTAAATAATTTACTTAATGAATATATTTATATTTTGTTAGTGATGATCTACAATGTTCTAGCTATTATCTTACCGAAATGAGTACAAATCAAATTAAATAATTGTGCCTGTTTCTAAGAGCTGCTATCTACAGCTAAAAGAATCACTGTTGGTTCTTTTCTAATTGACTAAAATAAAACCCAACAACAATTCAAAACATAGCATTAACTTGGAAATCAATCACTACGAGAAAGGGAGGGGTGGAAATCTAAGAAAGTCTTCAGCCAAAACTCAACAAATTACAGAATAACAAAACCATCTGGATATATTTAGAGTAAAATATAACTAATCTAAAACAAGCCATGGTAATTTGCAGAAAGCTTAGAAAAAGAAATCTGGTAGATAAAGTAACATAGATATATATGTAAAAAATTTTGTCTCGTATTTTAGAAGTTATCAGCTAATCAGCTAACACATTTTTATGCCTGATTTTAATTCTTAAAACTAGATTCCCACTATGCAACTAAAACTAAGAGGCTCTTAAGTTATTTTATTCTTTAATTGATCACTTTATTCTACATTTATTGGATAAATGTAATTTATATAGAAATACAATTCATTTCCTACACATAAATAGTTCAGATAAAGCTGTTTGCAAACACAAATTTGTAGTTTATAGTAGAGGTTTCAAAGATCAACCCAAATCAAAAACAAAATAGCAAAACCATACTTCCCACCTATACACAAGTATACCTGACTGACAGTAGGGTATGTAATTTTGAAAAGTGAGTGAAATAAAATGGACACACATGTTATCAAAGCTGATAGTAATTTGGTTCACTAATCTTTACAGACCTCAAGGGGACAAATCCTTCCTGTGTACCTCTTAGTAGAGGGTGCATAAAATCCTCTTCTACATAAAAGACACAGTATCACCTCCTACCTAACTTCTACCTAATGATTTTCGTGGTTAACATTGACCAAGCACTTCTTACATGTAGATACCATGTTTACAGCTCTACCTGAACTTTTTCTTTTAATCCTGTGGTCACTCTATGAGGGAGACACTGTGATGATCCCCAAACAATGTGAAATGACTTGCTTAAGATCACCAGCTACTAAGTAGGGA